ATGCGATCATTTGAACGCGGTTGAACTTGAATTAACTTTGATCACAACTAACTAAGATTTTTTCCTCCTGATAAAATTTTCATACATTGCCTATTATTTATTCAGTTATCGATTATTGCAATAATGCACAACGGGCCAGAATTTTGTCGGTTTAAATAAGCCGTTTCGAAACGAGTGGGAGAGACGGATTAAACGCGACAAATGTCCTGTCACACCACGCCCGAAGCGTGATCCGACAATGAGTTATTGGATTTCAAAATGCAGAAGGGTATTTCGGAATGAGCACGAGCTTGCCAGACACCACGATCAAATAGACTTGAGAACTTGGAATACAGACTGCCTTTTACTGCGATGATTCGTATCTCCGATAGCTTATACTTATTAAGATATATATTTTTTTAAATATAGTTCTCCGAATTTTGTTTTTCAAACGAGACTTCCATCTTAGAATGCATCAAACTACCTTTGCCTGTAAATCGAATGTTTAGAAAAGTGAAATTTTTTATTTTCTTCCTTAAATGATTCCTATATAACTAAATTTTCATCTAATATCCTTATGTGTTTTTAAATAATTATTTAAAAAAAAGCTTTTAAAAGCAATATCTTAAAATTTAGAAAGAGATTTGGTCATTTGGTTAATTTATGCAACTGTTCGTTGATGCAACCATTCGTTGCAAAGAGAATCACTCAAGATCCTTGAAAAATGAATAAATAAAAGACGTTTGTAGCGCTAGTAATGGACAAGGAGTTACGATGGAATGGTCTCGGTTATGCACTTGTATCTATTTTTAGCTTTTGCTTGCATAATTTCGTATGAAACTGTCAATCATGATAGAACGCTGGCGCCTGCTGTCAATCTATAATCCTATGCAACACACATTTTTTTATCTTGAATTATTGATTTAGATTAAATAATACATTTTTACATAAATTTTAGAAAACAAAGTTTCCCTTATTTAAATATAATTATGTTTGAATCTTAAAATATCTTTAAGTAGGTCTTCTATATACTGTCTGCCTAATTCCTATTGCGCATTCGATTATATTAAGAACGAGTGATCTGAGAGATACTTGAGTTTTTTTAACGACAGCCACACCGTTTTTACTACTGTAAACTATTTCAACCCGATAAAGAAATAAATATCGAAACGTCGAATCTTGATTTATACGATGAAACAAAGCTGGGTATTCTTTCGCGCGGATCAACGAACTCCAGCGTTTGTGTCGCCGACACGTGCTTGGAAATTCGATTTTCACTCTGTCTCAGAAACTAAATGCACTTCCGTTCCCAATTCCCCCGTATTGTTCCTAAGACCATTGTTCCATTAAATCATCCATGTATCCATTTTACTGTTGGATCCATAAATAAATAACGGAACGAAGCCGAAAGCTCTCAACATAAACATTTTAATCGGGATACAAAAAAAATGCTTTTTTTTCCACAATACAATTAGCGATTAAGTTATTTTTGTGTTAATCTATATATATAGCAAAAGCAATTCTTTGTAAAATCAAATTCAGAATTGTAATGCTGGTTTCATTCCCTAGTTTAATTAGTTTTAATTGATATCTTTTATTTGAATTTTTTTAAGACAAAAATAATTAAATAAATAAATGAAATAAATAAATAAATAAAGGTAAAGAAATTGTTGTATGAAATTGTGAAACCTGCGACAAGTGGACCCTTTCCTCGCGGATCTCGTCGCGATGTTCGTGCGGCAAGACTATTGTGCTGCGAAGAGTGTATTCCGGCGTTGGCGTTGACCTGTACTCCTCGACTGAGGGCGGCGGTACTGGGCTCTTTGGTAATTCCTGTGGACGTTCCTTCGGTTGCTTATACCTATGTGAAAAAAAATTGCACGAGATATTAATATAGCTCGACAGATCGTGCACGTGTGTCAGAAGCGGCAGAACACAAGCAGCTTCGTGTAGGTTCTTTGACGATCGTCTTTAAATATGAGGAAAATGAACGAATATTACACATTCTGATGCTGAAATGCAATTAAATGTAATTCTCACAAGAAACAAATTATGATTATGTTAAAAATGAACAATTAACTGTGATTTTATAAAGAAAAAGAGAAAATTAGAGATACAAAATATGTAGAATATTAAAGTAAAGTATATTAATTGTAGAAAATTACAGAAGCTTTTTGTTTTATATTACAGAAAGATCAAAATTTCAAATTTTGATTTACACATTCGAGAATAACCGATTATTGATTAAAGACGATCGCTGGAATGCAAAAGTAAGTGATAAAGGTTTCAATGCAGCGGTCAGAGAAATGTCAGTCGTGCTTTGTACGAAGAAACTGATTAATCGAGGAAGCGAATTAGCGATGTGCGATATTGCGGCGGCAATAATGTGTCATTGCGACGGCATTGTCAGTCGAAAACGTGTAGTGATAATAGAGATAGTATTTGCATTCTGACAGACTAGTGGCCGCAGCCCCGTTGCCAACGATCGGCCTGAAAATCGTGGGTGGTGATGGTGACGCGGTGAAGATAGTGTCGGTGGTTGTACGTGATGATGTTCTTGCGGCATTCGACGGCTCAGACCTTTCGATGACTAGCTTTATGGTTTCGGAGTTTTTGGAGGAGATTCTGTGCGTCTACATGCCTCACGTCGCGTGCGTCGTAATCGTCGATTTTCTTGATCATGTCACCCCTCTGGAGCGCCTCGTTCTCCGACTGCAAGCAAAATATCAAATTCGGTCTTGTTAGCGACAATTGCTATTACATTAATTGTCAATTATCAAATGTTATTGTTCTCAGAAGATTAATTAATTAAAAAATGATCTAAACATTTCAAAAGTCGAAAATGATAAAGGGTAATTTGATTTTCAAATGTCTGTTTTTTGGAATTATAGTTGTATTTGAAATATTCTGTAAACAATTTTTAAAAAGTTGATAATAAATTATATTAAAATTAAATGCATATAAAAACTAGATTATATTTTTATTTTTAATATTTAAAAAATTAAGAAAAATTAATATATTAAGAGAAACATGAAACAATTAAGAGAAACATGAAACTGAATACAAGAGAGATTACTCGTCTGTATAAATGAATTACGAAATATTGCGGAACGAAATGTACACGCAAATTATAATAAATAATATTCAAAATATCTATCAGTCTTCTTGCATCAAATAAAAATGAATAAGATAAAATTAAAAAAAAATTTTTTTGAAGAAAAATTTTATGTTTCTTATGCGCTTATGACCGCGTAACGTACAAGACGCTGTCTCGTGTTTCGGCGGGCTCAGGGATGCAACGCATCGTATAATGTATCAATGTCAACAGGCGCTAGATCGAATCGTTGATTTGAGAATTCCTTGGCAGTCTTCTCTGCCGCAAATGTTCATGGAGATTGCGTTACGTTCTTCTCTATTGTTCCGCCAATACCAGCGTGAAATCGAAGCCAAGTAAGTGGACACCGTAACAAAATCCCCCTAACGAGAGAAGCAACTTGTTTCACCCGAATAAAAATGATATTGCCCGGAAATAACACGATTTATTATCAGATGTAAAGAAAAAAATTTTTATACTTTTTTTTCGAAAAGTTGTCGGTTATTTGTATTATATGGCGCTTAAGCATAAATCTGATTTAGGATTTAGGATTTTGTATTATTAAAAAAATATTCATAATCTTATGTAGCTTAAATTATAATATAAATTTAATATTAAATAATTTTTACATATGATTATCAATGACGATACTCAATATAAAATATAGCTAATTTGTTTTTATTTAAAACATTAAAAAAATTTATTATTTCTTTTCTTATGTATATCTTTTTCGACTTTTATTGTATTTTTATGGTTATTTATCGTCATCGTTCCTTCTTTTAGAGATGGCAATCTTAGATACAAGAAAAACACAGAACAAATTTGAATTCTACATCAAAACCCATTTTGAATCTCGCTAAAAGAATTCTAATTAATTCAATCCGAAAATTAACTAAAGATTCGAGAAGATATCAAGCGGGAATTAAGACGAGGAGAAGACAACTCACGCGAGTGACAACGATCGGTGTGCCCAGATCGGCGCCTCCGGCGATTCTTATGCCCCATGGTTTGCCGGTGCTGGATCTCTTGAGCTTCACGATCACCGTATGCCTCCTCGTCATGCTCTAGATTCGCACTAGTCAGCACCACCACCAATAACAACAACAGCACAACAACAAACAATCATCCAGTAATCAATCCACCTAATAATCTCACAAAAGCACCTATAATAATTAATCGCGAGATGCACTTATGTGGGCAAAAAAATGACGAGGGTAAGACAAAGATAGAAAAA